AAAACTACGCCAGCCGTTTATCAAATCTAAAGTTTATTTTCCTTGTTGAAGGAGCACCTGTTCCTCTTTATTAGAAACTATTATTGATGTGTCATCCGCATACATGGTCACGTGAATACCCGATAATAAAGTATCCAGATCATTGGAATATAATAGAAATAAAATAAGGTTCAACACAGTTACTTGTGATACACCTGTGTTGATAATTTTGTTTATTGAATTAATGTAGGTAACAGTTCTAGAATTAATTATTTTTGGGATGCTTATATATTGCCATATTAGCTGCGTTCGGAAAGAAATAATGACATTATTCCATAATTATATAATTTTTACAATAATAATTTATGATTTACACAGTCGATTGTTTTGCTTAAGGTGACAAAACAACCCTGTAGAATATTCGCCAGCCTCGAAGAAGTCCAGGATTCAGCCAAAGAATAAAATTATTGTGGTGTTAGTCGAAACCCGTGTTAACCCTCTGTCAAAATATTAAAAGATACGATAATTATCAATCGAATTAGTTGAGCCTTTGTTGTGTATTGGGATAACTTTTCATTACTTTCAGAAAAGATAAGTTGACTAGCAAATAAAGAGCACACGGGAAAATTACTAAAACTTAAAGAAACACATAATATAAAAATTCAATGTATGTAATTTTATCGAACCAAAATACAAGATTCTAAAACCGATCTAAATCCTTTAATTTTGCGTTTAAAAAATAGGTAGTTTACAGAAAAACGATCTAAATGTTATGTATAGAAGATCGATCTTAGTCCAGCCACTTTTAAATATATTATTAAATTTGCACTTCCTTATACATAAGGAGAACCGCTTTGATACCACTTTCGTTTCATTGATCAAAAGAAAAAAGTTGACATTCCAGAAAAACTGGGTAGAAATTTTTAAGCATGCAAGGTACAAACCATCTCCTTTTAATGTAGTTATGCAATGCAATAAAAGTATGTTTTTTGCTAAGACAAATTTTTTATAAGACTGCTACAAGAAAAAGTGCTCTTTTCCTACAAGACCGATGAAAGAATTACGGCTAACCAAAGGCCATTGTAGAACAGTATAGATATGGAAGCATTATTATTGCCAGTCCCAATCAAATATGGCCATCGATTCCCAAACCGCTCTACCATGAACTGATCCTTCTGACAAAGAAAAAGTATTAACAGTCACAGGAAACTGAATAAGTTTATAACAGAGGAAGTACAGAATTATTACCTGCATTTACCACATATAGAATCAGCAGATAATAATAGCTCTGCACTGCAGGTCCTCTAGTCGTCATCTGTATCTGTAAGGTGTGGATGGTGGGTTACCCCACGACACTTAGGCCTCACTAGGTCTATTGTGCCTCTTCCTAAGGTGATAGGCACCTCCTAACTCATGAGCCAGCCTACAGATTTATTGTAGTTGACAACGACGCCAAGAGGTGCATATCCTCTACGATATAAGAGAAACACATTTATATCGAAGAGGATATGCTCAAGTCTCATATTGTTTGCGCCTTCTGCAGAGTGGGGATCCTGACAGATCCATGATATGGAGATGCTACCGTACTTGGCAATGACCAGTCAGAATGCCTGTGATCAGGCGCAGATTCTGTCGTCATAGTCAAATATTTGTTTGCTGTAGTATTGTCAGGATAACTTAAAAGATTCCTGGCAACTCTGCAGTTTCTTGTTTCATCCCATCTTTCCTTGAATTTCACAAGGGAATGTTATTTTATTAGGTCTGTTACTACCGATTTTATCAGTCGAATAGAAGGGCCAGATCCAAAAAGTATTTGGTTGGTTGCCTTCTTAGCAAGTGAATTATCAAGACGGTTACCTTTCGATCTTTAATCCTTCTTAAGGTGACCACATTGTTGATGGATACTTCGACCAAAGCTTGGTGATATTCTAGTACTAACTCTGAGTAAATTCGTGATCTGTTCAAGGTGAGTAATTAGTACTTGTCTGATATCTATATAGATGAGTATGTTCTTTCCAGTGATATTATTTCTGGTGATTTCTTTTTCTGCTATGAGAATTCCCGTGAGCTCGGTTTGAACTACATGGACACTATTGCTCACAGCTCATGTTATGTTTAGGTTTAAGAATATGGATAATTCTCATCCTTGTTTCGTTTTAGAACCATCAGTGTAGATATGAATCGTACCTGCCACTTTCACTTCTATTTGTTCTGTTATAACTTTACGGGTCGATGGTGTAGCGGTCTAACGCGCTTATATTCATTTATAGGCAAGTTTATGAGTCCGAGACTGCTGGGCTTCGAATCCCAGACCAGACCATGTGGATTTTTAATTAAATTGCATGATTCGGTTTAGGATTTGATGTGTGCCGTATTAATAGAAATTCAATTTCTATTGATATGACATGCAGATTATAAAATCGCCATACATTATCGTCTCGATGATGGTGGGTAAGGTTTTCCGGGTTTTCCTCACCTGTAAGTCAAATGACACCATCAATCATCCTTAAGTCGCCCCGGAGCGCCACGGCAAATAATAATAATAGCCGTCCCTTCCCCTACACAAGTCGTTCAGTCGACTTCAGGGGTTGAAATTCACTCGACTTCAGGGGTTGAAATTCACTCGTAAGGGGGTGAATTAGGGAGAGTATTATTATTATTATTATTTATATATCTCTGTGAGATGAGTCCATGTTTGCTTGAAGCAGTGGGGGCATAGCGAATGCCTCCTGCCAAAAGCGCCGTCTTGCCTCACCAGATAATATTTCAGGCTCTATTATAACAGTGCGGAGGCGTGTCATTGTCATCAGAGCAACACCTTGATATAAATATAAATATCAAGGGGAGTGAGACTAAGAATGACTGACATGGCTCTGGTTGGTATGGTTTTCATAGCTCCTGCCATGTTGAAACATGCTGTTCTTTGAATTTGTTCCAAACTGCACCATAGGTCTTATGATGGTTATGTGACGAATCTGGGAGAGAAACCCCAAGTGCGTCCTACGATTCGGCTGCATTGTTTATAAGCAATGTATGCTCTTTTGAATCTGTTTTTTAAGTGTGAGTTCCATATTAACTTGCTGTCAAAGGTGAGACCTAGGTACTTTACTTCTGTTGCAAAGTTTAGTTTTCCTTATGAAAAGGAACATTTCTGACTTCTTGGGATTCTAGAAGTAATATTTGTGCTTAAAATCGGATCTAGGATCAAAAAATTTATTTAGTTTCCCAATAGTTAATTTTGCCCATTTATGATGCATCAAAAATAAAAAACTGACTACATATTTTTGTTACAGATTTGACACCATAATCACTACAATCGCAGTGTTGACTTAGATCGGTTTTCCCATTTATTTATTTTTGTGTTTAAAAATTTGATTTGTTCAAAAAGTTAAGTTGATCTTATTATTATAAACATATATTAATAATATAATATATGAACTAATAAAAACGACCTTGCAAATTTTAAAATTAATGCGTCCCCATAATTCGAAAATGTGACAAAATTCTTTTTTCCCCTGTGCTCTTCAAATGTGATCAATTAATGCTGGATCTGTCTAATTTTTTCGTTTATTCTTTCTAGTATTATTCCATTAATGGTTTTGTTTGTTACACTTAAAAAGTGTGATTAGATCCAACTATATTATTTAATATTTAGGTACTTATTCAATTTACGTACGCGGTTTGCGGATCCCTAAACTCATCTGTTTATTATGTTTATTATTCGTTAGTGAAAATCTTTCTTTTGTCTATGTAATGTACATTTTTCACGTGTGTAGGTCGGTTATGGTAATTTTCATGACATATGCGTATATACCGTTTGACCTACTTCAGACCTTAGAGTATGTCGAACGCATTTTATATCGTACCTACTGATTTTATTAATGTTCCAAAACTATAAAAACATTTATTCTGTAGACAAAGGTGGAGATTCGACTTAATGTATAGGCAAAGAAAATTACTATTGTAAACGTAGTAAAAAAATTAACCATCATAACAAGGCACAGGACAATTGTTTGTATGATTGTTATAATACTGCGTAGGATGATGCTATCTACAACCTATTCAAATTGAAACGTACCGAGTTGCATAAGATGTAGATCTTTGAACCTAAAGCAGAAAAAAATTATAAATATGTAATAATAACAATTTTTCTACATGGTGTTTCATTAGGAAAGGGACATGCGTTAACTGTGGAGATGGAGATGTGCTTTAAAATAACTCATATTTGATGGGTCTTTCGTCCTTTATAATCGATTTTTGGCATATTTATTTCTTGATTCGTAAGTTGTTAATCGCCCTATACATATATGTTTTTGACATTTGACATACGTATTCTCTATAATTTCGAATCTACTAAGATATCAACAAAAAAAACGAAATTCAGGTCCGTCTCTACAATTTTATAATTTCGTCCATACTTAAAACAACTTGACTTCCATAAAAATTATATGTAATACATAATTTGACTATTTTTATGAACCATAAAAGAAAGTCCGAAAGTCCGAAGTATCCTATTGTGTACTAAATAGTGTTAGGAATAAGAAGGTTATCCATATCTCAAATGTGGTATATCCATAGAGGAAAGGAAAAACTCCAAGCCTTGACCACAAAATAATTTTATTAATAAAGGGGGATTAAGCGGACTATAAATTCAAAACTTATATTTCACAACTACCTTACATCAACATACTTTCTTAATAACCTCAAAATTAATTTTTAAAATGTAATTTTATTGGGGGGTTGTAGAAAAAATATAGTACAACTCGAGTAGATTGTTATGGACATCACATCCACTTCTGTTACACAAACTACTATTAATCACTTTAAAATAGGGATAATTTCTGTGGTAACACATTACTGTCGAACAACTTTTTTTTAATAATATATTCACTTTAAAAAATACGAGATAAAAACAATTCAACAGTGAGGAAAAAAATAATGAAAGAAAAATATATTGTAATAAATAGTAACAGTTTAAGAGTCGTTTAGAAATGGTTGTTGACATTTGTTTTTGTTTTCAGGTTTTAGGAATAATTTGTATGGCGTTAGCTTCACCTGCGCATTATGGAGGTACACATTTCTTCCTTCTAGTAGCGACTACAAGTTTTATATTAACAATCCTATGGATCTTCATATATTTACTAGGAATAAGAGAGGCGCTTAGGATTCCCATAAATTGGATATTATCAGTAAGTTGTCTTTTTTAATACATAATATATTAGAGGTTTACACCAGGTAGGCGAAGATAATCAGTGTTTTTTGCGATCTTCACTCGAGGTTTACACCAGGTGACAAGGTCTCAAAAACTAACAAAATTTTTTGCGATAACTTAACATAGCAAAGTCTATTGCTGGAGACAAGAAAACGAAATTGCTTTGATTTAAATGAAAAACATTCGCCTCTGAATATATAAATATAAAAAACTATTTTTTGTACCTAAAGGGCAATTAGGAAGAATTACCCTTCGAGAAGTTGCAAAACGGCAAGAGCCTTTCGGTCGTGAGGGAGTCACTTTAAATAGTGACTCTATGTGCTACCTGACTCGGGGAAATAAAAGAGCAGAACAACAATAATTAACAATTTATTAAAGATAAATAAAATATCCAAAAAAGTCATAATAAATATAACAAAGGGTCTTACCAAAGGCTAAACATCTAAAGGCGACGAGGGCACGTCACGTCACTTCTTCTAATGGAATACGAGACGATGATGAGACTCAAACTAAGAGTCTCGGATGAGACTCCGACCAAGAGTGTCATTATTGTCATTAGTGTCTAGTCTAATGTTATATTTACTTTTATTAAGGACGTACTTATGAATTGCATCTAATGTTTATAAAAATATTATATAAAATATTATGCTGAATTATTTAACTTAACGAATATATATTAAAACAGAAAATGTGTAGGGTGAAGTAAGGTAATTTCGTGACATAGGTAAGTTCGTGATAGAATTATAAAAATTTGCTATTGCTATTGCTATTGCTTTAGATGGATCAATCCTTGGCTAGTGGAAGGTGTATGATGCTACTAGATGGCGCAATCTGCCGCGTTTGGATATCACGAACATACCAGTCATTAGAAAACTTTGTTTACATGTGGTGCGTATTACCATCGTATAAAGAACTAAATAGTAGTCTCACCTTATGGAAGTTTCATTGGAGCGAAATGGATACTACCAATAGATGGCGCTAGTGAATATGGATAAGTCGATATTCGTTTGCAGTGGGCGGAGTTGAGGGTCCAGCAGAAATTTTTAAGAATGACTGAGACCGATCGATAAATTTCTATTTTTAGCTCTTGGATGAAATTTTATACACTCGTGATTGAATGTTTGGACTATTTTCTATCTAATGTTTGTTATTGTGCGTTAGTGCGTTTACGGGTAGTAGGTATTGTGAATGAGTTGTGTTTATGTTTTATTACTGAATTATTTTACTGTTAATAAAGGACGAGTTCCCAAAAAAAATGTGTGTATTTATAACTGTTTTGAAATTAATAAAATGCTTTTGTTTTTCGTTTCCTTTACAGGTTTTATCCGAATAAATTTAAAATAAATTATATAATATTAATAATAGCAATAATAATTCATTTCTTAAGTGTTGAAAAAATTGTATTTTTAATTTAAATACCTAAGTACTTAGCATAAGTAATTATTAACAACATGTTATTTCTTTAATCTCGTGCGTAACAATGTAATAAAAAATGGTTGGTAAATAATATAAATGAATTCTTAATATTGAAGTAAACACAATGGGTTCTATAAGGATTATTGGTTGGGGTTCTGCTTTGGGGGATAGGGTCGAAATATTGAAACTAAACTTGGTATATGGATGTATTATCCCATAAAAATAAAAATCGCTTTAAAAAATTCACCCCTTCCCACCCCTATCTGATATGGTGAGGGTGGCATTCCCAAAAAAGTAAGTTAGAACTTATTAAATAAAACAGTTGAATTCTACGATTTGTAATACATAAAAACACAAAATTCCAATTTTTTTGTAAAAAATTTTCCAAATTTTTTTTGAACTTAGGAAAAATTTCGACTTTAATCTTCATAGTTCGGATGTGGGGGCTGGCATTTAAAAATAGTTACAGATGACATAAAAATCTTATTTTGGACATATTTAAAATATAAATGATTTGCAACATTTTTGTATAAAAATCTTACCACCACCATCCCTTGGAGGGAAATGGAGGGGATGGCATCCCCAAAAAATCAAGTTAGAACGTTTTAAATAAAACAGTTGAAATCTACGATTTTTTATACATATAAACCCAAAATTACAATTTTTTTTGAAAACAAATTTCCAAATTTTTTTTTAACTGAAAAAATTTCGACTTTAATCTTCATAGTTCGGATGTGGGGGCTCTCATTTAAAAATAGTTACAAATACATAAAAATCTTATTTTTGGCATTTTTACAATAGAAATGATTTGCAACATTTTTGTATAAATATCTTACCACCACCATCCCCTAGAGGGAGATGGAGGGTGTGGCATCCCCAAAAATCAAGTTAGAACTTAAAAAAAACAGTTAAAATCTACAATTTTTTATACATATAAACCCAAAATTTCAATTTTTAAATCAAATTATTAAATTAAATTATTTTTTTAATTTCTTTATTATATTTAATATTATTTCTACTTTTTCTAACAATAATCAATTTAAGATATCTACTTTGCTTGAGCCAACATATTTAGTAGGGGAAGTTTTTAATATTTTACAAACATACTGTGTGTCCAAAAAAAATATATGAATTTGGCTAAACATTAACCTTTATTTCTAAAAACAGGAGAACAATGTTACTTGAAAAATGTATCTAGAATTAATATTTACCACCATCAAATCCTGGACCTGGACACAATTTTTTTTAGCAATACGGGAGAAGCGGAAGTGACATTTTTACAAATGAAATTAATTTTAACAAATTTATTTGAGATCATGTACAAGATTATTCATTATTAAAGACACCCTTTTATATTGCATATTCAAAAAAAGCTTTAAATACAAGTTTGGAATATGACTGACTTTTTTTAAATATACCATAAAAACACGTATTCAAATTTCACGGAATACAACACAAATAAACTTTTTTAAATGAGATACCCTCTATGTTATTAAATTTCTGGGATATTTTTTTTCTAATTTCACAAATGTATATTATTGATATCTTATACCGTTCTCGAGTAATTTAACATTGATAATGTAAACATGAAAAAGTTAACATTATTAAAGTAAAAGCTATGAAAATCACAACTATTATATTTGATAATAAAATAATCCAAATAGGTAGTTTACAGTGAGAAAGAAAAAGTGTAAATATTTATAAGATATTCGACATAGATTATCTATGGTACATATTCGACGTTTAATTAATCAGGAAAGAATAAAGATCATTTCGAAAATTGAATAAAATATATATCGCTATGCTTATTAAAAAATATTCATGTTAAATCCTGTGAAATATGCACACCACTGATATGGTCAGTTGATGACATTTTTACAAAATTCGGTCAATGTAAACATTATATAATAATAATTATAGCATAAAGGGAGGGTAATTTATAATTTCTCCTTTAGACACACACATTTTTAGTTTCATTGTCAAAAGATTTAAATAAAATTACCGGACCTTATAATATTCTATTATAATTTGATGATCCCGAGTGGCCATAGCAAAAAGACGAAATTTGAGCATGAAGATTTAGATGTCATTAACGTAAAATTAATGTTTTGAAATTAATTTAAGTTTTACCAATTTAGAAAATAAAATTAAATAATAAAAAAAAAGTGTCCACTCGGGGGTTTGAACTCGGAACCCTTCGATTCGTAGACAAGTACTCTAAATTTTCATTATGAAGTCTTATGAAAAAGCTTTACTTTTTAACGCTGATAATCAGACTGCTTTTAATTTCATTAAAATCTCAGTTTATTTCTAAATATAGACGAATATCTTGTGGAATGCTATTATTTATTGATTCTTTACAAGAATCACTAATTTTTATTTATATTTAATCTAAATAACTAAAAAAATATATACTGACAATTAATTTGACGGAATTGTCACTTATAAAGTTCTAACATCTGACGTAGAGGAACCAGTAAATAAAATCGTTAGTTCAATGATTGTACCAATAGATGTCGGGCGCGATTGCCTCCAATAACTATTACATGGCGATTATCCTACTATAGTTCTTTATACAATGGTATTACGTCGTAATTTTTCGCGGGTTTTGCAACTAGAAAGAGATCTGCTGTTTCAAAAGGAATTACCGAAAGATAGGTTTATGAAATTTATACCAATTATAGTATCTGAAATGGGGAATCTTCCTGTCAAATGCAATTTACAAATTTTGGCTTGGTTTTACCGTAATTGCTTATTCCGTGGAGCTAATTTCTTACGATTTTTACATGTACTGAAGATGTTAAAATGCTAGGGTTGTTGAATTTTAAATATCTTTTTTCGCACGCAGTAAAATTACCCCATATTCTAAGAATGTTTTATTTTTATGATTTACTACCAACCTTATGTAAAAAAAAACGTTATTGAACACATCACGAACTTACCTATTATCACGAATTTACCTATTGGAAATGGAAATGAAAGACAAAAAACGAAAATATCGCAGTTATGAAATATCTGATTTAATAGAAGCTAGTAGGTTAATAAGGGAAACAAACATGACAATCTATAGAGCAAGCAAAGAGACTGGGATACCATGGAGTACGCTGAAAGATTTTTTGTCAAAAAACCAAGACAACCAGCAACAAGTTGCAAAACTAGGAAGGCCATATGCACTGACGCCAGAAATTGAAACGAAACTATTCAATTATATTGTCAAGATGCAGGAACTAGGTTTTGGTCTAACAGTTAAGATGGTAAGAAAAACAGCTTCCGAATTGGCAAAAGAATCTGGTAGAGAAAATTTTCTGAAGGAAGGTAACAATTCTGCAAGTAAATGGTGGTCACAATTCAAGAAGAGGTACAATCTTGCTTTACGCGTTCCAGAAAATCTCGCAGCTCATCGCGCCTCTATGGGTAATCCAGAGATAATACAGGACTACTTCGTAAAACTAGAAGCACTCATGGAGAAACTAAACATAAAGAACATGCCGAGTAGAATATGGAATTGCGACGAAACGGATCTATCTTATGTCGTTAAACCCAGTAAGGTTGTTACGTCTATTGAAAAACGATACATTTAAAAGAGAACATATGCTGATAGGGGTGAGCCACATACACTTCTTGGTTGTATCTGTGCTCACGGGACATGGATTCCTCCCCTAATTATTTTTAAAGGAATTCGCTGGAATGATAATTTAAAATCAGACTGTCTTCCTGGTACACTAGTTAAACTATCTCCTAAGGGTTGGATCAACACTGATTTATTTCTGGAGTAGTTTCAATTCTTTATTAAATCAATTCCTCCAGCTCGTCCTGTTATTCTTCTGATGGATTCTCATGCCTCTCCTATAAATGCCACAGTAATTTCTCTAGCTAAAGAGAATGACATTTATTTATTCACTTTTCCGGCACACACGTCTCATTTGCTTCAACCCCTAGATGTGGGCGTGTATAAATCACTTAAGGCCAATTGGTCTAAGAGTTTAAACGATTTTATGAGAGAACATCCTACAGAAATACTCAAAAGGTATAATTTTCACTCTCTGTTAAATCCAGCATTTATCGCAAGTTTTTGTCGTTGCAATATCACAAATAATTTTCGAAAAACTGGGGCGTGTCCATTTGACAAAGACGCTATTCCCAGAGAGGCTGTTGCTCCGTCTCTACTTACCAATAAAGCAGCTCCTCAAGGACCAGTTGTTGCAGATGAAACTGAGCCAGCCACTGCAACTGATCCTACCAGTGGCACCCAGTGCATCCGATGTTCCTGCCAAAGCAAACCAAAGGAAACGGGATTCAAAAGCTAAATGTCTTAATGATTTTGATGATGTTTCCTCACTAAAAGAACCTTCTACATCAGGTACTAATAGTTCTAAAGTCAAAGTAAAATTTGCAATGAACGTCAAGACGTCGTCTACATCCAAATCCAAGACTATTTCTGAAAAGAAAGTTCCCCAACAGCAGAATGACAATGAGGATGACTGGAGGTGTGGTGTTTGTGAAGGAAGTTACTTGGAAGATTGTAAGAAGAAAAATGGAGCACGGTGGATACAGTGTTCCTACTGTTTAGTACCATATCACCTTAAAAGCATCCGAGGAAGATACTGTTTTTATGTGCGATAGTTGCGCTGTACTAGCAGCGATGACTCAGATTAAAATTTTACGCATAACGGATACATTGTAACTTGTAACTTGTAACCGATAATAAAACCGTATCTTACAATTTTTAGCACTAACTGTTGTCTCACGAATATACCTACTCCATATCACGAAATAAGATATCCCATCACGAAATTACCTTTCCTTGAATATGTTATTTTAAAACTTTTTTTTAGTTAGTTTCTAAGTTTTTAATAAAAAAATACCAACATCTAAAGCCAAACTGTAAGGTCTTAGCTCCCTCACAATTATAGCAAAAACGCATGCCATTTTCATTACTTTCAAACGACAAAACTATAATCATCATGAACAAACCTTACTTCACCCTATATTTTATATATAGGGTGATATTTGTTTAGCGTGACAGTATTTTACAAAAAAATGTATACAAGATGAAAACAAAAATTATTCATTTTAATTAAAAAAAAAAAAATAGAAATCCAAGCCACTCCAAGCTAATTTAAAATCACAACAATAACAAACAAATAGCATGTGCTAATAAATTGTACAAGCGATGAAACTCTGGATCGTTTTAATAATCCGCGACACATTTATGTAAGAATCAGAAAATACGTTGGAACGTTCTATTGAAAGTTCATTGCGCATGCGTCTGACATCCTTCTGATGATCAGATTAGCTCTTAGAACAAACCTCATATATGTCTACTCTTATAGATCGCAGCCATCTCAATTGTAAGAAAAATTGGAAATAATATAATTTCAGATTTCATATTTTTTAATATCTACATGCACATTCGAATAAAAAACTAGAATGAAGATATATAGCTTGTCATTCTATTAGGACTCCCCCTTAACCTTCATTTCAATCAGCTTTTTTCAGAATCAATAGGTTTCATCCTCTTATAAAGTTTGATTTTTCAGTTTGATATCGTTTTTTATTTATGAGAAAAAGTTAATATTAGTAAAATGTTACATCTATATATTATTTATTCAGTAATTGATGTATAATATTGATATTAAATATTAATTCATTAAAACACAGATTTATTTCACACCGTGCATAGAATTAAATCCATTGCAACAAAAAAGTAACCATTTATTGTAAAACATGTACCTAGACTAGACGTTTTTTGACATTTTTTGACATTTTTTTGACATTTTTTGACATTTTTTGACATTTTTTGACATTTTTTGACATTTTTTGACATTTTTTGACATTTTTTGACATTTTTTGACATTTTCTAAGTTTAATATTTTTTTATAATTGTTTTTAGGAACTATTCAACACAGGCCTGTGGGGTGGTCTTTACATCATAGCCTTCATCGTCCAGTTAATAGTAGCTGCGACTATCCACCCAGCTTACAACTTTAGAGGGTCATACATTGCAGCAGGGGTAAATTATTTTAATTTATATTTTTTAAATACTAGATATACGATATTTTGGATAATAACAATAACAATTTTTAAAATGACTGGTAATGGTTGTGCTTACCACAAAAAACAAAAAGCATTTTAACAAAAAGACGTACCTAATATCAAAAATCCATTTATAATAATATAGCCTATGTGTCAAATTATAAAAAATTAAAAGTGACTGCCGCTGTAAATAGACTGTCTAAATTTATTTTGATTCTGAAAGAAAATATACAGATTATTTCACTGTTGGTATACAGTTGATACTTTTTTAACTGTGTATAAAAGTTGTTAAAATAAACATCTTTTACAAATAACTTTTTCAACAAAATTTAAAAATAAGAAAGATTTAGCAATAAAATCTAAATCCTTGTCTGGACTCGTGTATCAAAACTTTCCGCTAAATAATAAATCTGTTTACGTTTTTATTTTTTTTTTCTTATGAATCACGATTGAATTGTGTGCCGGGTATTGTAATTCAGTCTAGTGTGATTTCAGTAGCATGTTTATCTGAATTAGTAAATTTAAATTGTTCAGTATGGTAAATTGAAAATGAAGTGCATTAAGAAGAACACATTTTAAATATTATTGTGAAAGATCTAACAAGTATGCAGGTGATTGCAAGTCAAAGAAAAGTATAGATAACATTGCGGGAAAATTAATTTTATCACTTTCATGTACAACTTGACTTTTTCCATCAGAGGGGGTTAAGTTTTGTGTAATGATTCTTACAATGGCATGAATGTAATCAATATTTATCGGAGACAGGACCGTACTGGATAAATTTTGAAATAAATTAATGTAAGTTTCTTATTTTTTGAAAAAGTTATTTTAATAAGTTTTATATTTTAATGACTTCTGAATACAGTTAAAAAATTATCAACGTATCCTGTATAATCTCATAGATACTTTTGATCGTTTGAAAATAACAAAGTCTACAGGTGCAAATAAGATAAATATGGGGTTGCAGTACAATAGGCTTTGTTTGATGATTTGTCTATGTTTGTCCAATTTTTTCAATATTTTATCATTACTATACCGTTTCTATATGCATTTGTTACAGGTCAAAATCTGTAAATTTCATAGGTATTGATTTCATTAGCAACTTCTTTTGATGGGACCAGAGTATTTAATTTCGTTTTTATCGTATATTTGAAATTCCAACAAATTTTTATGCCTAAATACGTTAAACAGCTGTTACTTTTGCTTGTACTTTTGCACAAGTTTTTTGTTTAGAAATTCTTTCGTGGTACCCATTTTTATTGCAAAATGAGGTATTCTTAGAACGGGACCTACACAATAGCGATTTATTCTAAAAATATCGATTCTTTCTTTGTTTTCCATATTATTTAACTTTCATTTTTCATGCTTGGCACTTATCGCTTGAATTTTTTATTCAAGAAGCTAATAATACTTTCAACGAATAGGTTTGCATGCCTTTTGGTTTCGGAAACAAGCCACTTAATGATACATACATTTTACATTTTTATAGTAAATTTATTAGAGCGACATTTGAAACATATATCTGGGCAAACATCTAATATTTTATTACTAGATGTTTATTTTAAAGTAATAAAGACAAGAAAATAAAGTCACAATTTGTTATAATTATTATGCAATTATATTTATATTATGCAGTTCTAAAAGTTTCTATTAGAATTATTTTTTTATTGATCTTCTACAAATCTGTTTTAAATTGAATACTAGAGCATAAGAAAATGATCGTAGAGTTGACATTAAAAAATAATTTAGACTAATGGTGGATATACTTAGGGGAGTATAAGAGTCTTTAGGCATTAGCTTAAAATATACTAGAATAATATACCTTAAAGAAACAATAAATAGAACAAAAAACATGAATATACCAAAGTGATGTGATGTAGATCTTATCTAAGCATGCTTAAACCGTCAAAACATAAAGATACCTAACTACAATGAACGCAACATAAACGAGTTACATAAAATGGCAATTCGTAACGCGCTACATACAATATTTTTTCTAATTTTAACTAGATTATTTATAAAATTGTGTTTTGGGAAAACATTACTGACATCTAGGCAACCAATATTACTTTCTTGTATTGTAAGTTGCATATACATAATTTATTGACAAAAATTAATTATTTATTCTCAATGACTTGTAGTGTGTTTACATTGCTTATTAAAGTTATTTAGTTTTCAAAAAAGTAGGTTATTTTGTCGTGTATTGTATTTTAATTATTTCGTGCTGATTTAGAATGGAAAATAAGAACCAAAACAACATTATTGTTAGGTTGTAAGTTTAACCAAATTCTATTATCATAAGACTTTGATATAAGCTTTTAATAATAATGTATATATTAATTTTAAAACCAAAAAAGTTTTATAATGTTCAACATTATGCAACTGGTTCCGTAAAGTAGATCATTTTGACACTTGCGGCGATTATAAAAAAAATTTACTTTATATGACAAAATTAGAAAAAATACTTTTTAGGTTAGGGTTATTTACAATTAGGCATTCCAACGACCTGTCAAACAATAGGTACCAGTGGGAAATTCTTGTATATTTAAGGGGGTAGCGACATAGTCTTGCAACTTGGACGCTATTTTTATTCGAAGTAGTACTCGCCAAGCCTGCCAATTTATGAAGAAATGTATAGGTGGGTTTTTTAAATATTATTTTTATTGTGTTTGACATAAAATATTTAAATGTAATCCATTATTCATGATTTTACGTAAAGTAGACAGAATACACCATTTGTCGCCACCCTTAGATATACCAAACCTGCCCACTGGTAATTCATTTGTTTGAAATGCCTAATTAGCGTCCAAGTTGCAAGACTATGTCGCTACCCCCTTAAATATACAAGAATTTCCCACTGGCACCTATTGTTTGACAGGTCGTTGGAATGCCTAATTAAAAGTTAAAAAATTGACAGTATGAGCAGTTAACAATGTCTTCACATAAGCGTAGCATTGCGTTTTTTTTTTTTTTTTTTGTTATAATAATCTATTTGTTTCTGTAATATTTTTGCTGTGATTACAAAAAATGTCACTTTATATGTCAAAATTAGAAAGTTATTTTTTATGACCTGCAAACAATATTAAGAAAAAAACTGAAAAGAGTAAATAAGTTAATATCAAATTTGATGATGTTTTTATTAAAAGTGTAGTTAGAAATTAACTGTCAGTGGAACCATTTTTGCGTCACACTAATATGACGTTTTATGTTCTCGACTCAGCAGAGTTCCCCTTAGTTTTGTCTATTTCTTTCGTTAATAACCATTATTTTTTATTATTGTTATTTATTTTTTTGTTTTTTCTAGGTATTTGGTATTTTCAACGCCGGTGTCTACTGCTTCGCTGCGTATCTTCTGTTCCTCGAATGGAAACGCAACAAATCAACGAATTAATTTATAATTTTTTTATCGAACACTTTATTTTAAGAAATTACGTACTGTTTTAGGTTAAGCGACACAGAGTACCTTAGCGTTAAGTCAAGAAAAAGTACTTGTATACACTGTCGAACAAGTTTTCTACGATTTTGTTGTTTTGTTGTTATATTATAAGATTATTAAAAAAAAAATGTAAAAGCTAAGAAACTTGTTATACATTTTTAATAGACGTCTATTAATTTGTTGTAAAACAACAGTTTAGTGGTGGAAAATAAATAATTATTGTACCAAATAACCTTTTATTTAATTACAGCTCATATCTGTTTAGGTAATAGATTATTGTTTACTTGTACATTAAACATTTAAATTTAATCAATTTTTTTAGAAAGTAAAAAATACACTCTGTCGTAAAATAAACCGGAATACAAACATTTTGGATTTTATTAACAACTTCTTAAATATTAGACCAATTTTGATTTAAAAATATACGATTATATAATCACACCACGTGAAAAAGAACAGAATCATTGATCCGGGCGTGATTTAACAAGTAACCGTCCTCACCAAAAGAAGCTTTGAAAAATAATTTTTAAATTAATTCCCAATTGCATCACTGTTACTAGAGAAATTGCTGTAGGGTGCACTAACTAAATGATAATGACGCTATCCAATTTCTCAACTAAGTGTTAAAAATGTATCTTTTATTTATCCTTGTATACCTGCAAAATATTGAATATTACTAGCAAAAACAAAATTTCATCAAAATTGGACCAAGATTTAAAAAGTTACTGAAGATTTAAATTAAATCACTTTTCTTGCCTTTTTTTGGCCTCGAGTATATAAAAATATAAATAATATTCTTTATTAAATCAAGGCAAATACATGAAAAACATTTATTCGGTCTTAATAATTATTTATGTACCAAGTGTATGAAGTAGAATAAGTAGATGTTTATGATCTGAGGGCTTGTAAGTAACCCGAGGAAATAAACATCTACTGGTGGTGCATACAAATTTTTATGTCATACTACTTCGTTATTGCATCCATAATATTATAAATATTGAGAAAAGATTCAAAATTTTAATTTGATTTATTAAATAACCTGATAATAAAACATGAGTTAACATTTGATGCAGGCAATCTAACAATCGAGTAAAGAAAAATTATAACTCAGTTACCACAGAATATTACTAAAAGTTATAAACTATAGGGCTGCTAGTTTCGACCACTGCATGCCATTTTCAGGACATTTTTCCTAACTTGAACTGTAGGATAATACTTTATACATACTAATGTTAGAAAATAAAAAATCCTTTTGGTTCAAATTTTTTTCCGAATTAGTGTGGTAATTGAATTTTTTATAAAATATGATTGTAATATTTATTCTCAACAGAGGAATAAAACCAGCGCCAAATTAGTGTTAAATATTAGTTTGGTGGAAGAGTAAGAGGAAGGAAGTAAGTCAAAGAACGTTATAAAATAAATTATAGGAAGGAATGGAGTTGTGTAAAAGGAAAGGCTAAGACCCAATATGTATTTCTAACGTGTAGAGAGTGGGTTACCTCTTGGCACTTAGAACTCACTAGGCTCATTGTGTATCTTCCTAAATCAAATGGCCTTTCCTAGCTCGTCAGCCACCTTACAGATTTGATGTAGTTGACAACGTCGCCTCTCTTATATCGGCTAAAACATGCACAAACATTTATTGTTCGCACCCCCTGTAGAGTGCTGGTTCTGACAGCCCCATGTTATGGAGGTGCTTCTGTACTTGGCGATGACCAGTCAAAATGCCTGTAATCAGCCACAGATTATATCTAGTCATACTAACGTATTTGGTTGCTGTGGTGTTATCAGAGTAACTTAAAAGCCCCTTGGCAACTCTACAGCTTCTTGTTTTATCCCACCATTTCTTAAATTTCACCTTTGACCCATCTTAAGGAGGTCACATTGTTGATGGATACTTTGGGCAAAGCTTTGTGGCATTCTACTACTAACTCTGAATAAATTCGTGGTCTTTTCAGGTTGACTAGTGCTTGTATGCTATCTTTTTAGATGACCATGTTTCTTCCAGTGATATCGTTTCCGGTCATTTCTTCTGGTTCTATGAGAATCCCCGTGAGTTTGGTTTAAACTAAACTGGCACTATTACTGATAGTATATTTTATATTTAGGCTTATGGATCTGAAGTATATTATGTATTCTGAGCCTTGTGTTGTTTTTGAACTATTGGTGTAGATATGAATCGTACCTACCACTTCCGGCTCTTCTATTTGTTTCTTTATGACTTTATTTGTCTTATAAATATATATTTTGGTAAGATGGAGTCGATGTTCGCCTAAAGCACTGGAAGCGTATCGAGTGCCTCCCGCTAAAAGCGACGCTTCGTCTCACCAGAGCCTACTTCAGGTTCTATTCCAATCATGCGGAGTCATGTCAATGTCGTCAGAACAACCAACCTCTCTGATGTAAATATCAAGAGGAATGATAAGTGAGACTAATGGGGCCTTTCACCCTCCGACACACAGTTCTGATCTAAAGGCAAGCTGTAATCACTTTATTTAACTCTTCACATTTGACAAAAGAGGAAAGATTAGATGTGAGTCAGATCGAGCACTTCACGTTAAATTTTGGACTGATTTGATGGACTGTACAAAAATTGTAACGTGTAGAGTCCCTTTTAAGCATAATGATCTATTTTCATTGTGTAGCGGTGATCAAAATGGTAATGAAAATAGAGAGGAAAGCCGCGAAAACAAACAAATAATATTCTAGTACAACAATCAAGTACTACATAGTGGGGCAGGCTGGGGCGAGGTAGCAGTGTTGTTATAACAAAAGCTAGCGGCACGTTTTAGCAAATTTGTTTTTTCTTTTTTCCTCGTTGCTATAATTAAGCTGAAATTGATGTTGAAGTATTAATTGATTTGCTTTTATTAAAAATCCACAATCCACTATGGAATCCAGGATGTCCAGGTTCATAATTGATTCATTTTAGATAAACTGTGTGATGATGTGGCTGATAAAATGAAATCAACAGTATTTTTATCAAAATATAATCGAATGTTTTAATAGCCATACGAAAATAAGAATGAAACTTTTCTGAATGCTGATGCTGGCGTAATTGTTCATACAAATGATGAAATCCACCATGAACATGCCTACTTAATAAATACCAAATTTTCAACGAAGAATTTTCTATCAGTACCAAATTCATATCTTGCTTTTAAACGTGCCACTATATTAATGCAGCTTTCTTTTTACAGCTCTCTTTCACCTCTTTCCTCTCTGCTCTTCTCTTCACTATGTTCTTAGCCTTAGAATGATTTCGTTGGTGTGGTTTTCATGGCTCCCTGATAAGACCAATACTAGGCAACCTATAACATGAGAAAGAATTTTACTGGATGTTGGTATTAACTAGTGAGAAAGAGTAAAATGAAGTGAAATTTGTAATAGTTGTAGACATAAGAAATAAACAGACAAAGTTTATCACCAAATCCTAAATAATGTTCAGTAGATACTTTTACAATAATTGAATTAAGGGCCGATCTTTTCACCTCTGGGTAAAGTTACATGTAGGTTTACTTGACAGATTTAAAAACAATAGCCCTATAGTTTAACTAGCAAGTAGTTACTTTCAACTTTCCTCATAGATGAAAAGACTGGCACATCATATTTTGTAATTTTAATAATAAAGGTTTAACAAGTGATAAACAGAAAATGATGAACTAATATGACATAAAAATAATTATTAAATTGTTTCACACCAATAGGCGCTTATTATTATTATTCTATAATTTTCAAAATTTTCAAAAATGTTTTGGTTCTATTAGATATACATTATCGAAGAAAGTTTAATAAAATTAAACAAAGAAACTGTTTTGGTGCTAATAGATTGAATATTAAAAAAAATAAGTATAAATTGTGCTAATTAATAAACATTTTATTGAAATTCTTAAATTTCATCAGCGTATAAACCATTTTTATAAACAATGTTAATTGACGTAAACATTTTTAGTTGCTACTTTTACATGTTTATATTATTTTTTGTATGATTTTTGTATGTTGTATGTTATTGAGTTGAATGTTTAAATAATTGTTTTCTTTTAATTTTCTCACGCGTATATTCACGATGTCTGGCATATTTATGTTATTATAATTTAGATTCTTTGCTGTTAGCTTGTCAAAAAAAATGTAATTCACTTTTTAATAATATGTTTAAGTTTTCAAATTTTATCACGAAATAACATTGTACCTAATATTTAATGTATATTTTATTACAAAATAAAAATAAATAATCTTTGTTTTATGCTAGTTTTACTCTAGAGGACTATTAAGTTTATAGGGTTCCGAAAAACTAGAAATTGTCCCATCAATAATTTAAAATATAAAATAAAATTATTGAATAGAAAAATAATATAATTGGTATGGAAACCATATCCATAATCTAATTTAAAGTTCCTTATCTTTAAAGCCTTTATACAATTATTATGAGGGTTAACCTTTTTAGATCTGACATTGCAAGTAAAAATAATAATCCTACTAAACAATATTTAACTTAAACATAAGTAACGCGTAAACACAATAGCTTCTTGACAACAGCACATTGAGGTAGAGGGTAGAGAAACATCCAAAACAGGATCACTATGCTGGCTAATAGCAGCCGGGCTTGTGCGTATCATGCTGTGGTCAAATGGCTATTCTGTTTACGCGTTACTTGCCTCTAAGTTGAATAGAGTATAGTTCTCTAGTATTTTTCCTATTATGGGGCTTTTCCTTTCAGAAACTCTTCTGCCTTTCTTCGTTCTGGTAAATTATTCCACTATTCCTGAAATTTTGTAACATCTAGTGCTTTGTGCATGTTCTGACAGCTGTATTTATGACAACACAGAAGGAGTCAGCGCCAAGAAGCCTTGGAGACTCTTCTTCGGGCTAGTAAATCAGCATCTACATTGCCCATATGTCCTCAGTGGCCTAGTACCTAGACTAAGGTTATTCTGTTTTGACTACCCAGCTCTGTTAGGCCTTCCAAACAGTCCAACATAAGCTTTAAGTGTGCCTGCATATAAATGAGCGCTTTTAACTTCGCTTGGCTGCCTGAGTATATAACAATTATTTTTTCATTTACCTTGTTTTAATAACTCTTTTGGAATATTGTCGCATAGCTCAGTTATATTTTTGTCTTTGGCTTGACACTAATACCCACTCCTGAACCTTCATGCGTTTTGAAGCTGCCTGTATCCCACTTGATTTTTGCGTGAATAGCAGGTCCTTCCTTGTTCTGTATACTTTCTATTCTTTTGAAAACTATATTTTAGGAGCATTTTGTCTCAAAGGTATTTTCATCATTTGGTCGTTTTCCAACTCTTTTTATAGCTCACTATAGTCACGTCGATATAAACTGCTTATAGGTGATGGACCTTTGTACAGTCTGTATGTGACGGACCTGGCATCGCCTTGACTGAATATGTGTAATTGTGTTAGGTATAGCAAGACTTCTAAGGCTGTTACTGAAGTAATTATCATGGCTTTAGTGACACTCAAGCATGCTTGCCTTTGAATACCGTTGAGCTGTCGAATGGCTTCATCTTGCCGAGTCTGACCATCATACCAC